TTTTTTTTTTTTTTTTTTTTTTTTTTTGTAAATTGTGTGAATCATCTAAAAGTAAAAACACCTTAAAGAGACCAGGAATGTCATCAAGTTTTAATTTGACACCCATTTGTGTAATTTAGTTTAAACATAATACATTTTTTGTAACTTTATTAGAAGTTTATGATTCAAATTCGTGCCAAATCTTTCAATCACTTTTGTTTCATCAGATCTGAATTGTAAAATTACGGCAATATATCACTGAGCACTTTCTTGTTTCCTCCATGTTTACAAAGTTGATCTTAGCATTTTGATTGACAGCAGCTAATCAAAAATGGCAGAGTTAGACAAACCCTTCACTCACACTAATTATTTTATAATCATCAGATTAAAAACTCAGGTCACTTGTGTTCACGTTCCGCTTTTTTGACGCACTCTGCCCATCGCTTCTTTTATTTGGGGATGTAAAAACAAGTACTTTTTTGGTTGTAAAATACTTAACAGTGATATATTTAATGTTATTTTGGCAAAGAAAGCTTGGTTTTTGTTTTTTTAAGCAGAAGGTGTATATAGTGTTTACATGTATCAGCATCTGTTTGATTGTATTTTGGAGAAACGTTTCTTTATTGTAATAAGGACGATCTATTTTTGGAGCTGCCTGATGGAGCTGGTTCAGTCTTCACTGTACACCGAGTTGGTGCTGATGTTCCAGGTGTGCAGTGGAGATCTGACCGAACCTCATCTGGGCCCAGCTGAGCACACCTGAGCTTAACTGGGTTAATGGATATAGAAGCACTGTAGAAGTGCTCTTATGCAAGCTGCGATGGTCCAGTACACTGCCTGCTTTGTTTCTTCAGTTTGATTCCATATTTAATTCCTACCTTGATATTGTATGAACTTGCCCATTTGGAGTAATAAAGTTGATTTCTTAAGTGTGCTGTTTTATTGTAGCTACATGCAGAGCTAAAGCATTCTGGGTTGTGTTTTTGAGGGTATGTATTTGGAAAAAGTTCACTTTCGAACCTCAAATTATTTGCTGTTTAACTCAAGTTCATGACTGAGAATCAGAATTATTCAAACTTCAAGTCTGAAACTATGTTTTAAAGTTCACTGTGAGTATGCGCAAGCTTATTTTACTTACCCAAATGCAGCATCTTACCAAACGTTTTGTATTAAATTATATGATAATGCTTGTTATCTAATGATCCATCATTTCAGATGATCCTGACCTGTATCACTCGCTCTCTGTGATACACTCGAACTCTGGATGAACATTGGGAACTGGATCTTGAGTTGGGATTTTGTAAGGTCAAGACCGAACGTTCATTGGTAAAAGGTTCTTACAGCTCTATGAATGAAATCATAGAAACTGCTTTGCTTGCAGGACAGTTGAGCAAACTTTTTGCTGACGGATACCAGTGGTGTGATAAGGATGCAGGCTACAAAAAGATGCAGGCCTACAGTGCTTCCAGAAGTATAAAGAGAAAATAAACTGATGTCACTGAGTGAATGTTTTTAATTTAGCCATTTAAAGAACCACTCATCAGTGGCTTTAGCTTTCAGAGTACAAAGTCAGATTAGGATTTCCTTTTTTTTTTGTTGATGACAGGAAGCATCAAGGTGCTTCTTTTTTCCCCCCGTCAAACTTCCTGTAAGCTTTATCCATGAACCCTGCCTGACCTGATACTGGGCTGCACAGTACCTGAGTACCTGTTCAGAAGTGAAGGACAGGCAGAGTAAATCTGTAACAGACATTCTTAGAGGGCTAAGCTCCTTACACTGCTGAGAACTGAGACGAGCTTCAGCTCTGTCAGATCTGACAGGAATTTGTCTTGAGAAAGGTTGACGGGAATGATAGTGACACTTGGACAAAGTCCACATCCATACGCAAGATATGGTGGTCATTTACATTCCAATTTCTGAAACATCTTACTTGATAAAATTATTAAAACCAATATAGGGAAGACTGTCAGCAGCTGAAAGAAGAGAAAAATCATCTGTAGTCATGATGCAGCAAGTGTTAAATTTATCGTCTTTCTAGAGCAGTATGAAAAAGGACAGAATTTAATCTTGCATTTATATTTTTAATGAGATCATTTAGTTGTAGATACACTAAAAACTGTTCTTAATGAATCTACTAATTAATTCTACTGCCTCAGTCTAGCATATCATGTGTCTGTAAAACTGAAAGTCTCATCTGCTCCTCTGCAGGTCTAATGATGTGTGTTGTCACTGAAGAAATGTGCTCACAATCAGTGATCAAAGGTTTCCAAACAGGAGGCCCCTCTGTCACCAGGAGCTGGGACTCCATGCACTCCAGAAAGAGGACAAGGATGTTACTGTGTAAAGAGACAGAAGCAAAACCCACCTGTTTGCTTCTCTGCCAATGAAATCAATCCTATGAGCTGCACGCAGGTATCCTCTGTCTGCCCTCTGGGGGAAAAGGTCAAAGGTCAGGAAGGTGAAGAGCCTGATAGTGGGAAGAAGAGAAAGCTGACTAGGGAATAGCTGATACAAGAAAACATTTTTACATTAGAAATTATGTAAGATATTGTATTGTTCACATTTAAAGAACATGTTGAAGAGCATAACAATTACATTTCTAATTTCTGAAATGAAAAAAGGCAAGTAAGTAAAACTCTGCTTTCAAAAGATATTTGAAGGAAGTCAGTCATTCCATAAACCTCATCTCCTCAGGAAGGTTGTTTCGGAGTCAGAATCTAAGATGGCGAAAACACAACAACCTTCAGATTTAAACCTCAGCCTGGGAACAGCCAGAATGGCCCCACATGAACATCTAAGGCTGTAATCAGCTTATTAACTTTGAGTCTAACTTAAATAAGAGTAATTATACTTCTGTAGTGGATATAATGATAATATTCCCCCACAACTGACAATTTAAAGCTGCAGTGAACAGAAAAGGTGAAAGAGAAAAAAAAGCCTTTTTCCTCTTTTTTCTTCAGTGCATGGATACTCAGGTGTTTGATACTTGGCAAATGTAATTCAGTGCTGCTTTTGGCTTCACACAGGACCCCAACCCCACTCTCCCAGATAAAAGCCTTTTGCCTGACCCACTGGAGCACCACATATTACATTCGACATGGACTTTATACTGCTTAATTACCATACCTGGTCTGAAAATGTACATGTAATCGGTCATTCTCATTTCTGGGGAATAAAATAATCTGCTTTTAACAAATCTACTGTCCTATAGGGAACAAGGTGTCCTAGTGCATAAACCATAAAGTTGGCATTAGACATCACTTTTCCTCCCAACTTGGCATGTTTCAACTTGAAGGGTTACCTCTGTGGAGCAGTGTATTTTAACCCACAGCCACAATAGTGTCCCCCTAAAAAAAATTGTTTTTAGTTCTTAAAACTAACCAGTGGGTGAAAGCTAGCTGCAAATGTCATATAAGAAAATGAAAGTTGTAACTGTTTAAAGTATTTATTTGAAAATTAATCAGCTTTCTTAACACAGTAACACTGCATATTTATTACAGCTAAGATTTCATTATTATCACAACTAGAATTCCTGTTGTGGAAAAAAAACCATTCATTGTCTCTTTTCAAGCTCACATCTCAGCATTTTTAAAAATAACGCTTAATGTGGGTTGTGTAGATGGATCTTATAAACAATCCAATGCTATCAAAAGGTGAGGAATTAATTGTAAACATGTTTAAGTGATACTAAAGTCAAATATTGCTGGATAAGCATGATTTTCTAATATAAAATCGAATGATTTCCAGCAGACCCGAGGGAACAGTGCCTCAAAACGGCATTTCAATATATGTAAACTGTCTAAAGGTGGTTTTAACGTGTTCTGCCCCAAACTAATCTCTCCAATCAAAACGTTAGTAGGTTAGATCTTTAAGATTCTACTTCCTCTCCCCGGCAGGAGGAGCACCTCCCTCTGGACCCGTCCTCCCTTTGTAAACGGCGGCGCGCACCATCGCCCGCTCCCGTGACGCAGCGCATCCCCGTGCTGCACAGATGCCGGAGTGGAAGCGACAGGCGCGCTCATCCAAACGCATCGAACACAGGGGACGTGGGAGAAGATCGTCCGATTTGCGTCCGTCTAAGAGCTCCAGACCGCGGGGAACGATGCTCGGAACAAGTCGCTTGGTGGGAAGCAGGACTTAAAAAGCTGCGGAACACTTTTATCTGTATTCTCTCTTTTCCCCCACTCCGATAATAATCAAGATTCCGGGCAGTCGCCGTCCAGTTTTCTCGATCACTGAGAATTTAGTTCCAGTTTCACGACAGGTCGGTGTTTCGTTTGGACACGATGTGGAAGCCGGGAACCCTCCTCCTGCTGTTGCTGTGGCTGGCATCCGGCGAACTCCAGCAAGAGACGGAGCCGCGGAGACTCCCACCCCCAGGAAAGTTGAATTTCGGCTATGTGCCAGCGGGAGTTTACGAGACGCTGGCCCATTACGAACCTGGACCGATAGGGATTCTGTTCCACATGGTCCATGCTTTCCTGTATGCGGTACAACCCAACGCTTTCCCACACGGTAAGCATCCCCAATCGAGCTCACGGTGGCTACAGCACAACAAATGCAGACCGAGCCCTGGGCAACGTGTCTGAAATGTATATGGAAGTCATGGGGGAATAAGTTATGAGAATCTATGAGTGTTGTTCCCGCTTGGTTGTCTTGTGGGACGCAAACAGGGACACGAACAAGAGAGAAACTGCAGGTTATTATACTGGATTACAAATTGACTTTTTTTTAAACGTTTTTATGAATTAGGCACATAAATATTTATTCTAGTTTTGTGGATATTGGGTTATGAATCAAAACTTTGAATTTTATAGCGCTTCTTCGGTCTCACTGCGTGAAAAAGGTGTCCACTTGCGGATTGGTCTAGTTGTGCGTCATGCGCCCCGTTCAGCGCTCACAGCACGCACTTGAAGGTGGTGTTTCTGCCTGCGGCGCACTTTGTGTCAGGATAATTACAATTAATGAGCCTCCCGCTGACAGCAGCGGTGCACGTTGTTTTTGCCTCTGTGAATGAACGTCGTTGGGTAGTTTGTTGGTATGAGCACCCGAAGAGCTTGAACGCGCATGGCTTTACATTTAATACAATTATACCTGGCTGCTTAACCACACCCCCACACACGGAGGTGTCTCTGTGTGTGTTTAATTGGGTATTGGGTGCTCAAAAGACTACTCCACTGCATGCATTACAGTCGAAGAAACATTTTGCAGATTAGTATCTCTCTGAGTCACCTTGTTAATTGAGTAATCCCATAAACCCCTGCGCCATATGCTGTTGGCGTTTTTAGTTTTCAGTTTGTCACCGGCAGTTGGGGGCTCATGGCCTAATCCTATGGAGCAGACAGACCACTGCGCAGTGAAGCTGTTAGTTCATTCATGGGTGCACACACTAAATAATCCAAGGAAGACGGTGGAAGTCATGTGGAAACAGTGGGATAGGATAATAAACGACAGTTCAGAGACATGTATGTTTAATTTCTTTGACTAGAAATTTCACGCAGATGTTTTTCTTTTTTCTTTGGGGGGGGGTCATGAAAGGAAATTTTGCAAGTAAAGGTCATTGGTTATTAATAGAACCTGTGCATGTTTGCATATCTAAATCCAATTCTGTCAGGGCTGCTTTGATTATAAGGCTACAAGCTGGTTTGCAGGAAACCATTGGCCTTTCACGGCTTGTCAACTACATCTCTTGCACTGCGCCATTACATAACTTGGAGTTATGTTAAAATCTATAAGATGAGCCAGAAGAAAGATCTGCACTCGGTTTCCACTCCAGTGGTTTGTGACTTGAAGTGGCGCAGATGTCAGAGTGGAGCACTGTTTAGGCTGGGTCGACCTGGGTGTCGTTTCTCTTCAGCCTGTGATAAGATACAGTGTTAACGTTGTTACAGCAGGCTTTTAAAGAATGAATCACTGAATCCTGTAGCAAAAAAGGCTCTTAAATTCTGTTCATCTGTTTCCTAATCACATCTGATTTAAAGGGACAGTTCACTCCCAAACAAAACAACATCTTGTCTTTTGGAGTGATCCCACTACTAACTACCATTCATTTGTTGGACATTTGTTTGAGATGATGATGGCTACAACAAATGTTTTATTAATTTTCTATTTTCTGTTAGAAAATGTAGATATTAGAAAATGTGCAAATGAACATCTTGCTATATATACACACAAAGACACACACTAGTTCTGTGGATGTGACTTTATTTTATGTATTTATTTTTGTGGATACATTTGGACCATGACAAATCTTGTTATTCATATCCCAATACAGACGAGCAGCGTCAGCCACTCATTCCTTCCCCAACATCTGGACCAGGTGTTTGTTTCAAAGGTTTCTCAAACCCATAATTGAAAGCAAAACCATACTCAGAGCATTAGCAGAGAATGAGTCATTTTTAATATTTTTTGTAATTTATTTACAGTTGATTGACAAGCACTATATGGGCGAAGGTATCGGGCCACACCTTTAACCTTTGAATTCAGGTCTATAAAATCAAGCACCTTTCCATGTAGTCTGCCTTTAAAGACAATTGTAAAAGAATGGCCTGACTGAATTTGAGTGAGGTACTGTAATAGAAAGCCACCAGTGCAGCAAGTCAGTTCATAATATTTCTTCCTATCTAGAAAAGAATAGAATAGCCCTTTATTCTAGACCACGACACACCATAAAAAGTTACAGAACAGGGTCACCGAGTGCTGAGGTGCACAGTGCAAATGGTAAAAGTCAACAACGTTCTGCTGACTGAATAAATGCAGAGTTCCAAACCTCTTCTCGCAACAACATCACATATGTCATGAGCTTTGTGGCATTGGTTTCCATGGATGAGCACTGCAGGAGTAATGTGTAGTTGGCGCAGTACCTTTTGTTGATGGAAAAAGGAGAAGGTTGAGCTACAGAAAAGGATAGCATACCATCCTTTAAATCAGGGGTGAGGAACTCCAGGCCTCAAGGGCTGGTGTCCTGCAGTTTTTAGATGTCCTTGATCCAACACAGCTGAGTTAAACGGCTAAATTACCTCCTCAACATGTCTTGAAGTTCTCCAGAGACCTGGTAATGAACAAATCATTAGATTAGTTGTGTTCACCCAGGCTGATATCTAAAACCTGCAGGATACTGGCCCTTGAGGCCTGGAGTTCCCCACCCCTGCTTTACATTAACATGCAGGCATTTGGGTATATAGGTCTTACTTTTCTCATTTATCCACTACATCTACCTGAACATTGCTTTGGGTAGCACAGAAAACACAATTATCGTCATATTTTCAGATTTTTGAATAGACAGCAGAGTACTTGTGTTTCATATTAATGTCAGTTAATGAAACCGTTTTCCTTTTTTAAATTATAGCTCCAATATCAAAGGTTTCATACATGTGCTGTAGCCCAGACACTTGTTCGACCCTTGTGGATTTTTATCCAATACAGTCAACAGCCAGTTAGGCTAACCCTATAAACAAGTGTGAGATGAACATTATGTTGATGAGTAATTAGCGACGCTCCATCATCACATCTCCTACTATCAGTGCGCATAGCACATTACATTGAGCAATGTCTTTATAATCTCATGAATGCTCAATTTAGTCAGCTGATGTGTTCATCACGCTGTATGTGCAGCAAGCGGCTCCGAGCTCGTAGGAGGTTTGATTAGAAAAGAAGCAACAAATGTCTTTCATCAGCACCCACACAAATCGAACAAACAGCGACATATTCTCTAACTTTTTTGTCTCCAACAGCTGCAGTGTGGAAGCCTCCAGGAGCTGTTGACGCCTCCCTCACACTTACCCACACTCTCACCGACACACAGATGCTACAATCCAATATTCAAGCTGATGTATAGGATCACAAACCCTTTTTACACTGCAATTTCACAGCAGTTCTGGCTTTGTGATGAATTCTTCTCATTAGGATGTTGACTTTTTTTCATCAAAAGTGAATGGATACTTTCCAAAAAAGCCCAGGGTCCTGTGTAACCTCTGACACCAGAGGTTACAGATGCAGGGGAAGTAGTAGTATCGCTGTTGTGAATTGAAAAGTTTGCAGTGTTAGAGGTTTGAGCCCTACTCTCTCAAATGCACAAGGGTGCTTGAGCAGGACACTGAATCATCTGTGTTTGTTAAAGCAAAGGTGAATGATCTCAAGACCAATGCAGCAAACTGGTTTACGAGCCAGCTGGTAGGGAAATCGCAAGGAAAAGGAAAGGACTGTGCTTTCTTCTAGGCAGCGTCTGAACTTTCAAAATAAGAGCCAATACACTAGTAGATTTCAGATGGTGTCCTCATAGTGCCCGCACTCATCCTAATATTGCAAGCTCATTTAGAAACTTTTTCTTTTTTCTTTTACTCTCATCCAGTTTGCCTGTCAGGGGAATGATTAAGTAGCAATGACATGCTTTGCTCAAAAGCATTTCAGTAGAAAACATGAATGTAGGTTGACAATATTGATATCAACAGTATCAGAAAGCATTCAATCAATTCCCCTTCCCGAATTAGTAAGAATGTAAACATGACATAATAGTTGCATTTAGTTGCATCTATTTAGGTTTTCATGTCTGCTAATTAATCCTGGTGTAAGTCAGCCATCGCTTGAGAATAGCTGTGCATTAAGTTGCGTCTGCGGTTTTGAAATGTACCATTTCATGCCTGTGGGTGAGCGCAGCTGGGAAGCCAGTGCCAGCCATTATCGTGCAGCAGATCCCTGTTGGAAAGTGTTTCCTCATTAGTGTTTCCTTTTCTCAAGAAACCATGTTTAGGTGGAATTCAGACCACAGAGGATGTTTTTCAAAGAACCTAACAGTTGCCAGGGAAACCCATCACCAGTGATCATGACCTGTGTGATTTGCTTCACCTCGCTGGCTTGTGTATCTTACTGCATCATCATGATCATGAAAAGTACTGTGGAGTTATGTAGATTTATGCAGCTCAGGGTATATGGTCTTACCTAATGTTTGTTATTTAACACTCATTCGAAGGGAACCCAGGGTGGGGTTTTTTTCTCCAGCAAAGAGGCATGAAGCGACTTTAGTGTTCAGTGAGGGACAGGTAGACATGAAAGAAACTGAAGAGGAAGACTTCAAAAGATTTCTAACCAAGGACAAAGACAAGGAAGCTCATCGTGAGCTGCATTTCTGAGGTTTTTTCTTTCTTTCATGTTCTTTGGAAGAAATCTTAATATAGCAGAGTTTGTTTAAAGTTAAATGATGAGAAATCTCAATTAAGTAGCTAAATGAAAGTAAAAGGTTGGAATAACTAGGATTTAATCAGAAGATGTTAGTGTTCTCTCTCTCATTCTTGAGCGCTACAAGATTTGCTGGGATTTACAGTAACACCAAGGTTTTTATAGTTAACGAAATCTAAACTAAAAACTAAAACTAGATATAAAAACACATTAGTTTACAGAAATAAAATGGACACACTAAAACTCTGAGGGAAAGGTGTATAAAAAAAAAACAAACAACTGAAAATTGTGCTCTCATACTGGTACAAATAATTAACTGAAAATTTGTTGACGTACACCCA